CCACCTCAGGTCTGATGGAACTCAGGTTCCTGTTGCATATTACTCCAGAACATTGTCTTCTGCTGAGCGCAACTACGCTCAGATAGACAGGGAGGCTCTGGCTGTTGTTGCTGGAATTAAAAAATTCCATGATTTTCTATATGGCAGGCATTTCACGGTCTTCACTGACCATAAGCCTCTGCTGGGACTGTTTACCACACGTAAGCAGACTCCCCAAATCATTTCCCCTAGAATGCTTAGGTGGTCTATTTTTTTGTCTGCATATGATTTTTCCTTACTCCACAAGCCTGGGAAAGAAATGGGCCATGCTGATGGCCTCAGTAGATTGCCTCTGCCAGTAGTAGAAGCTGACCCTGCGCCAGCTGTCAACATTCTATCAATCCAAGCCTTGCCCGAGCTCCCTCTGAGTGCCAGGGATGTTGCCGCTAAATCAGGTACAGATCACACACTTTCACGTGTCCGTTCCTGGGTTTTGTCTGGTTGGCCTGAGCACTGCCCTAGTCCTGAATTTCAGAGTTTCTGGTCCAAAAGGAACGAGCTGTCCCTTTCTCAGGGTTGTCTGCTTTGGGGGAACAGAGTTGTCATTCCCACCTCAATGAGGACTAGGGTCTTAGAATCCCTCCACGAGAGTCATCCTGGCATTGTTCGTATGAAGGCTCTTGCGCGCAGCCACTTGTGGTGGCCTGGTTTAGATAAAGATATTGAGGCTAAGGTGCATGCATGCCACCTGTGCCAACGATCTCGCCCAGAGATGCCCCAAGCTCCCGTGCATAGATGGGAGGAAACACAGTCCCCATGGTCTAGGGTGCACATTGACTACGCTGGACCCTTTCAGGGCCAGTTCTTCTTGGTCCTTGTTGACAGCCATTCGAAATGGCTTGAGGTTGTACCTGTCTCATCCACCACCACTGCAAAGACTATTCAGGTACTGAGGGGGATTTTTGCTGCACACGGGCTGCCAGATGTCATTGTGTCCGACAACGGCCCTCAATTCACTTCCTCCGAATTCCAAGCTTTCTTACAGGCAAACATGATTCGTCATGCCACGTCTGCACCCTTCCACCCGTCCACCAACGGTATGGCTGAACGTATGGTGCGCATCACAAAGGACGCATTGAAAAGACTCACCTACGGGGACTGGCATCACAGGTTGGCTGACTTTCTCCTTTCTTATCGCACCACACCGTCCACTTCTACAGGGAGAAGCCCAGCTGAACTTCGTTGGGGGCGTCAACTTACTACTAGACTTGACCGGTTGCATCCGGACAGACTGCCTTCATCTACCTCACATCCTAGGGCACCTAGACAACTACTTGTGGGTGCCCCGGTTTGGGCTCGCAATTACGGGCCTGGTCATACATGGGTCCCCGCTTCTATTTCCAGGGTCACAGGTCCTCTCTCCTACGAGGTAGCCCTGGACAACGGTCGTGTCCTGCGTCGGCACATCGACCAACTCCGCCCTCGGCGGGACTTTTCAGATGAGACTCCTGGGTCTTTTCCAGGGGGGGAGGGGGACCCTTTGGAGCAAAGGGAAGGGCACGAGCTGCTGCCCATCTCCACTGATGGAGCTACAAACGGCCCATCCCAGGGTTCCGCGAGAGCTCCGAACAAGAATTCTATGAGCCTACCTAATTACCAGGCATCCACGCCTACTCCAGCCAGGGAGTCACCCCGGGGGCATACTCACTTTCCACACACATCACACAGCACTCCAGTCACGGAGGATACCCGGGGGCATCCCAACAAATCATTCCCCGCAAGAGAGCTGGCACACAATTCCCAAGGTTGGCCTGACCTTACCCCAAATCCTACAGGGGGTCAAACATACAGGGAGGTGGTCGAGGAACCAAGTCCCGACTACAACACCTCTAGCCCAAATCAGGGAGTAACTGAGTTTTGGGAAAGTACAGAAACCCACACAAGCCCGGACACAGAACGGGGTTCAGGGAATGGACAGCCTCCTGACAGGTCTTGGATGGACCTAGGAGGTTCAACAGAGACGCCCAGCAGTGGCTATCACTTCAAGGGGCCCGAGGGTCTACAGCTAGGCAGGTCAACCAGGTCACAAAGTGACAGAAGCCCTGGCCTGACGAGCCCGGTGGGCGAGCAAGCAGGCCAGGCAGCGGGGCACAGTCCTTGGAAGGCACCAAGGCAAAATAAGGAGAACAGGCTCACATCTCCCTCCAGTCAGGGAACTCATGCTAGTAACCCAGAGCTGAGAAGGTCACAGAGAGCAAAGAAGTCTCCTAAATACTTAGAGGATTACATAACATTGCTGGCTAAACAAAAGCCAGGTAACGATAGGAGCACTGAGAAGCAGAACACTGCATAAAATAAATGATTATATGTTGGTAGTAGTTTTAGCCCGGGGGAAAGGGGTGTTATGTCCCGAGCCTTGCAAACGGCTCGGGCGTTTGCAGGCAGTCCCGGGCAGGTGCAAAGCTGCCCGGGACCAGACAGGCTGTCGCCAGCGCCGTGCGCATGCGCGGGTGCTGGCGCGGGAAAAGTATCGCATTTACCCGGGAAATGTCTATATAAGAAGTTGGGAGGTTTTGGGAGCTGCTGAAGCCATCTACTTGTAAGCTGAACGCAGAATAAAGAAAACTGAGAACTTCAACTGCTTCTCGTGTCTGCTTCCCGCCACGGACTCAACAGTTTATATAACTGCTTCTAATGTAAAACTGTATAAAAACAATTATGAAATGTTATGGCTTAAAATGCAGAAGGATTTGAATGATTGGAAAAAATTGCAATTATCTTTGTTAGGGAGAATTGCTTCAGTTAAAATGAATGTTCTGCCAAAATTTCTTTTTTTGTTTCAAATGATACCTATCTTAAAGAAAGAGGTAAATTTAGAAGAATGGCAGAAGGGTATTAATAGATTCATTTGGGCTGGGAAAAAACCAAGAGTTAAGCTTAAAATTATACAAGATGTTCGAGAGAGAGGAGGACTCAAGGTGCCGAATTTGAAATTGTATTATGATGCGGTGGTTTTAACGTTGATTAGTGATTGGGTTAACTTAACAAATTCAAATATACTTTTTTGGGAGGGATGGGATTTATTATTTGGATGGCATGTGTATTTAATTTATAATAAAAAGGTGGATAGGGTTTTTAAGTCCCATGTTTTAAGAATTGCTTTATTGCGTGTCTGGAAGAAATATTATAGATTAAATTTTGGAATACCGTTGTGGGGAATTCCTAGGCATGCAATAGAGGGGATAAGGAAAGGAGTGAAAATGGATAGGATTTCTTACAAACAATTGCTTAAGTGGGAAGGGAATAATTGGCAATTAAAATCTATGGAGGAATTAATGCAAGAAAATATTATTTATTATTGGTTCCAGTATAGGCAATTATTAGAAAGATGGAGTATAGATCAAAAAGTGGGTTTTACTATGGAAGATGTGAATTTGATGAAACAAATTAAAGATCAAAGTCAAACTCATATAAAAAGAGTTTATAATGCTCTAGTGGAATTGGATTCAGAAACAGAATTAGTTAAAGATTGTATGGTTAAATGGGCTCAAAATTTTGAAGAGCCGATTTTATTAGATACATGGGAGGTAATTTGGGTGAGGAATGTTAAGTTCACCCAAGCTCAAAATTTACGAGAAAATTTTTATAAAATGTTTTAAAGGTGGCACCTTGATCCACAAAAGATGTCTCGTATGTATCCGAATGTACAGCCCAAATGTTGGAGATGTGGTTGTTTGGATGCAATGTACTACCATATCTGGTGGTCATGTAGAAATATAAAGGCTTTTTGGATTAAGATTTGGTGGAACATTCAGAAGATTTTTAATAGAAGGATAAAATTTACACCACAATTATTTTTGTTAGGTATTATTGAAGATTGTGATGGCAAAGAGATTATTTTAATGTTGAATTTTATCACGGCGGCAAGGTTATTGATTGGGCAATATTGGAAGAAAGATTCCTTGCCTACTATAGAAGAATAGTTTTTAAAAGTTTCTTATTTATCAGAAATGGCAAAAATTTCGGCTTATCTGAAAGACCATTCACAAGAGAAAGATATCTTGGTGTGGAAAAGATGGGTAAATTTTGTACAGAATAAATATGGGATTAGAAAGTATTATTTAGCTTTTGAATAATTTATAGTTTAAAGTGGGTATTTTTCTTTTTTTTATTGTTATGTTATGGTTGGACTTGTTGTTTCTATGTATTGGAGTTAAAGTACTTTAAATTTTTTGGATGTACGTATAGTTGATTGATGTTCATTTAACTTGTATGTTTTTTTTTAACCCTGTATTCAGCTCTGGGAAGGAGGGGGGAGGGTCATGGGGGGTGGGAGGGGGGGAGGTATTTTATTGTAAAAAGTTCATAAATTTTTCAATAAAAAAAAGAATAGAAAAAAAAGATGGTCCTTTTTTCTCTCTCATATGACTTTGATTACTCCAGTCATAAACATGCATCAAAGTTCCTGACAACAAGGATGATCCTTTCATGGGATGGGATGTTCTGAAAAATGAAATAGTGCCTGTACAACTATCTAGCCAGTGGCTTCCTGGTAGAGATGGATAAATATTTAGTTTGCTTTATTCAAATTATATTTTCTCAATTGTGTATTTGTGTCACTATTTTAATGTATTTATGAATAGAAAATCCCTGATCTGCACTCTTTGTAGCTATTTTCCAATCTTCATTTCCTAATATATACAATTTTATGTTTTTTAAATATGCATAATTTTTGAATATATATATTCAAAATACATATATATTTTCTGTGCATTTTTTGAGTTTCAAACTGTATAGTTCCTGTAAAAAAGCAGTGTGTTCCAAGCTGCCTATAGATTCAGCTGTTAATCATGTACAATTTATACAGATATGAACAGAACGAATTTATCATTTCTCCTTACTTTGTTATATCTTCTCTAGGTGTTATCATAATCAATTATTTAATCATCTCATGGGATGCTAACTCTATGGGTATTTTTTTCTATTCCTATATAAAACAACACATAACCCTGATGAATTACCTTTCTGCAAGGGTTTGTTGTTCATTGATTCCAACATTAAAGAGGACTGGGTAGACATAGAGCAGTTTCCCATCTTTAATCTCTTGAGGAAGCAATTCAAACATCTTTTCTGGAAGCTTTATTTCTATTACATAATGGTCCCTATGAAAACAAAAAAGACAAAACTAAATTTTGAGTTGTTTCACTTTTTTAAAATAACTATATTTTCAGTCTGTTTACTCCTAGGCTGGTAAGCAACAAAAATCTATATTTAAAAATGGGATGTTTTCATAAATGAAGAATCTTTTTCAATTAAAAAAGCATATTTGTAAAATCTACCAAAACTCTCAACATCCCTCAGAAAGAAATACAGAAGAGTTGGAAGTTACAATGTTGATTATACTGACATTTTTAATAATTTCAATAGAGAAATTTGCAATGGAGTATCTGTTATTTCTTATGTGGAAGCAAAAGAGCCTTGAGATCGAACATTTATAGTTAATGTCCATAATCTTAAAGGCTTAAACGAGACAAATTAAAAACAACATACAAACATGCAATACAGAAGAACTAAAGCCTAGCACAGCTTATTCTTATTTAAATCATTTCATTCTAGATCTAGTGCTCTGGCCCAGTTCTCAGGCTAAAGCTAAGTTTTCAGGGATTTGCAAAATGCAAAAGGATCAGGGCTATTCTTAACTTGGAGAAAATGCTTTTCCATAGACCAGATATGTTTTTTCCACTTAATGACTTTTATTGTTTCATCAATATCTAAAATACAAAGAAAAATAAAAATAGAAAATTAAGGGAGGAAAAATAAAAATAGAAAATTAAGGGAGGAAAAAGAGAAGAGGGAAAGAAAATATGAGATACAAGGGAAGAAAGAAAAAAAAGTGTTGACGTCTGACTCTTTTTAGCACAGTAGAAGATAACAACATTCCAGCATCAATTTTTTACTTTTACACCTTAGTATATAACTAGTCATTTCTATAACAACAAATCTATATACTTGGCAAAACCAAGTCAAAGTTTCATTTTTTTTCTACTCTCAGTCCTGAGATGGCCTCTAGATAGAAAAGCAGCAAGACTCCCAACTGATCCCGCAAACCAATCTCAGAAAAAGTCTTACTTCCAGAAGCTTAGAGAGTGTAGCCCCCAAAGGCTAATAGAGATTCCTGAACGACAACTGCCACTTTGCCTCGGTTGGTACCAGCTGGGCACATTTCTGGTTATGTCATATGTAACTGTATTGCTCAGTTTACAAGCCTTTTTAAATGCTAACTATTTCGCATATTCTTTATTAAAATCAATCAGAATTAATCATAACCATATATTTCTATACATTTGATGTTGCAGTTCCTTCCATAAACAATAATAAATATTTTAATATTTGGAGCATAATTGCCTAAAACTCTAATGATCCTTCTGAAATTGACCATCTACAATCTTTTTTTTTCTTTAGGACATCAGGGTTGAAAATGAGGTATCAGAAGCAGATGCAGCATTTGAAAGTGTAATAGATAAAAGAAAATAGTGACAAAAAAGCAAACTTGGCAATATATCAAGAGTTCACAAACATTTGACCATTTTCTAACTGCTTTATTGAATATGAATCTTTCCAAAGCTGGATAATTTTCTTGGCAATCCCTCACAAATAAAGATCCATAACTCTTAATGCTCTATATTTATTTATTGGTTAGATTTAACAATTAACTATTAATAAATGTAGAAAATGCTTATTTATTAGATTCTAAAGATAGACTCCAAAAGAAAATGTACCACTTTATATAGTAAAGTAATTGTTGTACAGGCATACCAACTTTTCTGTAGATTTCATATCAAAATGTAATTATAGGGAAAATCCAAACTGTAAACATTTGTGTTTTAGAGAATGTCACATCAAGGAGACAACAATAAAGCTATTAGAACTTTAGTGAAGGGTCTGGAATAATTATTTCCAGACTGTTAATAGTTCCATATTGCAAAGAAAGTTTCCTGTTACATACAAGACAGCTTGGTTTCTCTAATGAATGAGGAGAGAGAAATGGGTAGTGCAATCTTATTGGCATTTCTGAATCTCTTGGCAGCTTTTGATACCATTTGACATGATAACTTCCAGGATCACTTAAGGAAGCTATAGTTTGGAATCACTGTTTTACTTATATTGCTTCACTCATTTTGTCATTAACGCTCTTACGCCTCACTTTGTCATTAATAACCTTATGTTACTTAGCCACATTTCCCCTTTCTTGTGAGCTTGTACAATTCTAGAACCTCTGAATGTCTTCAAATTATAAAGAGTGGATATGGAGGAATAAGCTAACTATTAGTGTCAACAAAATAGAATTGTTTCAGTTCAAAGAATGAACTTCAGGGTTTGGAAGATTTGCAAGCTGCTTTAACAAACAGATTTGCAGTCTATGTGACTTTGTGGATTCAACATTGTACAGCGTAGTGTATAGCCCCAAAATATCTGTAACAAGATTGGGTGATGTTGGTAATAAATCAAGGACATCCCTACTTAGAGACAAAATACTTGGCTTGGTGACTTTATATGGTAATTGCATTATCATAAAACGCTCTGTGGATCAATCCTTGAAGATAGTCCAAACATTGTTCAGAATGAGGCAGCATTTGTAACTGATAATGCTTTCAGAGATTCAACATAACCAGTATTGAAACAGCTTCACTGATTGCTGATTGCTGGACCTAATTTAAGAAATTCACATATAAAACCTTTCCTTGCTTAGCTCCAAGCTATTTACAGAATCATCTACTCCTGCATATTCATTTTGTACTCTTAGATTGTAAATAAGGTGCCTGCTGGATGTGTTTGACATTACCAATTAACTTTGCTTTTTCCATGATACATTCCATGTTGTTGAACTCAGTATAGATTATGCCTTGTTACATTTTAAAAGGGACTAAATCTATATTTATTAACTCAGCTCCTTTAACAATTTACTTTTTGAATATTAAGCACTGCCCGATTTGTTTTTCGGTATTTAAGATTTCTTGTTTTTATTATTATTGGCTTATTATGTTTTTACTGCAGATCCATTAAAGGAATGGGTAGCATATAAGAGTTTTAAATAAAAGGAGTAAAGGTCACAAATGATTTTGAAAAGGGATAGCTGAGGGTTCATATTATATCATAGATCAAAATATTTTCTACCTATTGCCTCAATTAACAGCCCAGTACTATTAATCTTCTGATGGTTCCATAAATCCAGCCTGAAGGCTTCCAGCCAACAGAGCAATTAATGTTTTAGTATCCACATTTATAAAACAAATTGGTCTGTAATTCAGAACACTTATCCGGCTTAGAAACAATTATTAGATAAGCTCAGTAAATAAATAAGTTAAAAATACCTCTAATAAAATATTAAAATTAAAATATTATATAGTGCTTCTTCTAATTACTGGAGCTACCATCACATTGTTTACAGTACTGTTAGTCCTCGACCTACAACCACAATTGATCCCCAAATTTTGGTTGCTAAGCAAGATGAAATTGTTAAGTGAATTTTGCCCCATTTTACAATCTTTCTTGCCAGTCGTTAAGCGAATCACTTCAGTTATTAAATTAGTAACATGGCTGTTAAGTGAATCCGGCTTTCTCATTGACTTTGCTTCTCAGAAAGTTGCAAAAGCTGATCACATTACCCTGGAACATTACAACTGTCATAAATGCAAGCCAGTTGCCAAGCGTCCAAATTTTGATCACATGATTATGGGGCACTGCAATGGTTGTAAGTGTGGCAAACGGTCATAAGTCATTATTTCAGTTCATTGTAACTTTGAATGGTATTAAATGAATGACTATAATTCAAGGTCTCTATGCAGAATCAAATATAGTGAGATGAAAAACTAAATCCAGTAAAAATTATGAGAAAAAAGGTTGCTCCCTCCTACAAACTTAGAAAAGATAAAATGTAGGTGCCAAGGGAATAATTATTATTAAAATCCCTGTTTTTAAAAAATCAAATATAGAAAAAAAATTCTCTGTTGTACATCTGCAAAATACTATAATAAACACTTAGAAAGGTATCCAGCACTATAGAAAGCACAAGGTTGCAATGTGTCTACACTCTATAAATAATTTAGAAAAACATTTTAAGGATGTATTAGCATATGTATGAGCTAGTGTCCATTTATAGAACACAGGAAAGAAATTATAAACAAATGTATAAACAAACATGTTTACTTCCTTGAGGGCACCTAGAGCCCAGTGCAGTAATATATTTTATATAACTTCAGAAACTGAAATGAGTTTCAAATTATTTTGAATACAGACAAAGAAGACAATAGAAAAATGAAGTCAGTATTTCAAATTTCTCTCTATTTGCCAAGAAACCAGACCTTGAAAACACTCAGATTACTGATTTTAAAGTCCCACTTTCTCATAAGTGCACTTTGATTATTTTCAATTGAAAATCTAAGAAATCATCAGATTATAGGCTGCAGAACTAGGCAGTGATAATGGGATTTTTAAATACTATTTCCTATAAGTATTGATTAGATCATCTGGTAATATCTAGTATCATTTTTTTTATGACCGAGATTAATTAATTTTTATTTTTTTGCAGAAATTCCAGGACACTCAGAATTTCCTAATTTGAATTATGAATACAATTGCACCACTTATTGTAGCCAGTAGAGGTTTTACAGTATAATCTTTCTGCCATCGCTTTATAGATGCACCAACACAGTTCATCTATTATCCACAGTATTTGTGTAAACAAAGAAACTTTAATTGTAAAAATTTGGCAATTTCAAGGTTATAAGAAGTTCCTAGTTATTATTGTTATTATTGTTTTCATTATTATTATATTCGACGTCACCAAACATATTTTCCACATATAGTAAGAAACAGAAATTGAAGGCAAGGAAGGAAAGAAACATAAACTTAAAACCAAACAAAAAAAGCCAAAAATATTTCCATTTTGTCTCTTCCCTCCCTACATCTTTTCAGCATTAACTCATGTTTATATCTCTATCCCTTTCCATAAGAAGTATGTGGTAGCATCTACAGCAGAGGTCCCCGACCATTTGGGGAATAAGTTCTAGTAGTAATCTGTGTTGTGAGGCATAAAGCTACCACACACAAAGTCAGAGTCCTGCATGGTTTGTGCATACAAAGCTGCCAGAACGTGTTCCTGCTGGGATTGAGTTCAAGCAGGATACTAACTTATGTACAGGGAATAATAAATGGGATAGGAAACTCACGTAATGCTAAACTGACACCTGCTAAACTGTTAGCCACTTCATTCACTAGAACAAAGGGAAATAGCTCATTAATTTTATTCATGGAGGAAATCACAAAAAGTCATATATCATTTTATAAGGTTGTGGCACTGTAGAGTTTGGGAACTCTGCAATATTTAATTGCACTGATTAAATCCTTCCTAGCTACTTTTACAGGAGTTTGAATGGGATAGAATGGGATGCAAGACATTATGGCTTCCTCAGAAGCAGAACATTTAAAAAAATGAATGAAACTCCACTAACAGAAGGTGGCAATGCTATTTTTCCACACCATGAGGATATTTCCTTAGCAGAAACTTTCTGCACAACTTTTTGTACCCTGAGTTGGTAATGATGATAAAGCTTATTAAGAACTCTACTTCCACTTGGCAAATGTGCCTAAAACAAAATCTAGTGTTTCTTCCTTTGCCACAGAGTCACTGACTCTGAAAATGCAGGAAATTTATTTCTGGCATGCTGTTGTATTTTAACTTAGACATTAAAGCAATGATATCTCATAGGTTAGGCCCAACAGAAGATTAAGATTAGAAAAATACAGGTAGTCCTCGAGATGTGACTGTAATGGAGCTTGTCCATTACAGTTGCATGCTGTAACAGCCATTAAGTAACCTAACAACCTTACAACCCCCTCTCAGTTTGTTTGTGGAGGTTCTGTTTTTTAAGGAGGATTCCTTTGTTGGTGGAGTTTAAGTACTACTTGCTAGGAGAATAGCACAAAATTGCCATGAAGTCGGCAGCCTCTACAAGAAAACTAAGCTGGGCCTCACATTGCATCGACTGGACTCTCTGCAAAAAAACAAAAAGGTGGGTTCTGCTTGGCTCTGGAGCTGGCTGAGGAGCAGGTTGTGTCCTGCAAGTCTCTGGGGTGGCCAGATGGGAAGTAGGCCTCAGCCAACAGGCTTTAACTGTCCATCATGTGCCCAGTTGCTTCTGCTGGCCAGCTTTAGGCTCCCTTGCCTGGCTGAATAGCCAGTTGGGAGCAGGCCGAGACTTGGGGGACCCTGAAGGACAGGGGACAGAGCACCGGGTGCCTCAGGGGGTGGGAGAAGTCTTGGGAGGCCCAGGAAGATGAGCATGGGCCTATGCTAGGCGTACAAGGACCTCCCTCACTCCTGAAGCACTCAGTGTTCCACTTAATGACCTGCATGTTTGTTTAACAATTGCATAGGGAAAAGCAGCGATGTGGGGTTAAGTGAGATGTTTACTTAACAGCCATTGCAACATGCGACTGTAATGGATAAGCTCCATTTACCTGTACTCTAATCTTAATCTTTTGTTGGGCTTACACCAGGTTTGGTTTTAGATAGCAAAGAAACACCTATATTCAAGCATAGAAAACATGTTGCTGAGTTTTTGCATATAAAAATAAAGACACATATTCTCCTCTCTCCCATTTTTGACAATATAAAATTACACAATTAAAATCAAAGGAGTTTTTCTCCTTAACGAGACATGCAATTTCCTTAAAAGGTGTTCATTCTGATTTCTGTCTCTTTCTTAAACATCACATAACTTCCCTTTCAATTTTTTTTGCACATCAAATTAAATTTTTTTTAAAGAACAGAGAATAGGTACCGTCTTCCAGTTATAACAGGCAATAGGTCATCTGATTTAGTTTCAGTTATTTTAAACACGACTTTTTGCAAGTCTGATATTCCCACAGCCATATCTTCTAGCATCCCAATTTCATCACCTATAATGAAAAAATAATTTTAAATAAAAAAGAAAACAAAATATATATGACTAGCAACTCTATATATCGACTTTTACCATGTATTTACAAAAAGTGGTAAAGTTCTTCCCCTTAATTATTTGCTTATTATGGGTTTCTTTATTTGCACATTAAAAGGTCTCTAGATATTTATTATGTTTTACAACTTCTATTTATATTTCTACTTCCCCACATGCTAGCAATATATTTGGGACATTTATTTACAAAAACAGATGCAAACCTAAATCTAGGTTGACATATTACACGAAGCCATAAATAAGGTTTGTTTAATTTGGTGTGGTATGTTATGTGAACCCACTATGAGCACATTTTGTGAATAAATTCATCTTTTTCTTCATTATTGCATAAAAGCCACCATTCAGGGTTTTAGGATATTATTATATACAACAAGGTAAAATTATATAGCTGCAGTTCTTTTTCTGATGCTGGCTTTCATTTGCATCAAGTTCTTCCCAACAGTCTAGGAGACTGTAACACATTGGCACAGTACATTTGCAGATCCAAGTAATGGGGCCTTTTGTAATTGACAGATGGAAATTTTGTTTATTCTGATTTGTTACACAGATGTTTAGACTGGATTTGGTATTTTTGTCCACCTATTGCATTCTTCCTAAGGACCTGGGATTGACAGATATTGTTTGATGAAGTTAAAGGTCTCGTCACAGAATGTAAGCTGATTTTTGCAATTGACTGATGGCAATTTTATCAATACCAAGTGGTGCTCCAGATATTTTGGGATTGGGTCCAAGGAGCCCATTACTATTGGTAGTATATTTGTTTTCTTTTGCCACAGCCATGCTACTTCTATTTAGAAGTCTTTATATTTTGTGATTTTCTCCATTTCTTTCTCTTCTCTTCTGCTCTCTTGCAATGTATTGCAATGTCCACTATCTAGACTTTTTTTTACCTTATTTATCAACCATTGTTAAGTGGCGTTGTGTGACAGATGCTTGTCTATTTGAATTCTAATGTTCCAGAGCACAGCTCCTTCCTTTTCTATTATATCATCTATTTTTTCATCCACCAGTTCTTGCTTACAAGCAAATGGCATTTCTTGCAGATATTTCAATGCACCATTATTGCTACTTTGTCATTCCTTTGTTTTGGAATCAGCCTATGGGCTCTTTTTTCAGCAGCCAGTTTGGTCTCTTTGGGATTCAATAAATCTTCATGGTGTACTAGCTCCAGTGCATCTTCACTCTTTGTTAGATATTTTTCCAATGCACTTTTTTTCTTCTTCAACTGTCTGGTTTAATTCCAACATTCCCCGTCCATCTATGTTCCTTGGTAACTAGAGTCTCAACATTGCTGTATGGATGAAGGGCATGATTCGTTGTCATTATTTTTATGGTCTTTCTATGCATGGTTTTGAGATCAGCTTGAGTCCAGTCCATTATTCCAGTTGTATATCTAATGATTGGAATTGCTCAGGTATTAATCGCTTTGATAGATTTCCACTACTGAGTTTGTACTTTAAGATCTTCTTCCCTCTTTTGATGAGTTCCCCATCAACCTTCTTGACTTCAGTATGCTTGATGTCTAAAGCATACTTAAGTATTTCTAATGATCTTTTTCATTTCATTTTCATGATCTATGTTATTTCCATAGAACATCTTGATTCCTTCAATATTTTTCCCACTGATGATAAGAGTAGACCTTGTAGAGTGCAATGCAGTAATGCAGTCTGGAGGTCACAAAGGCATTAGTGACCATAAGCAGTCTCCTTCTGATCGAGGAATAGGGACAAATAATGTACAACCTGAAGTTGTAGTTGGTCTTCTCAGTCATAGTTGCATCTGCTCGTTTAACAGGAGACATCAGTCCAGAAGAATCCCCAGATTGTACACCAGTTCTCTCTGGGTGGTGCCATCCATTCTAAAACCAAAGAGGAAACTCTTTGGAAGTAGGAGTTCCCAAAACCCAGAACCACTCAAACTTGCTTGGGTTGAATTGAAACCTGTTGTGCCCCATCTAAGCTCTCACAGTCTCTAGGCATTGAGACAAAACCTCCATGCATCACTGGGGTAGCTTGGGGTAAAGATATAAAGCTGAATATCATCAGCATACTGTTGATACCTCATTCTAAACCACTGGATGACCTTAGTGGTTTCATGTAGATGTAAAACATGAGGGGCCACTGGTTGGATCTTTTCTTTTCTATCAACAGCAATTGGAACCGGTTGTAGAAGAAGGAAGAAAACCAATACAACATCATATCACTGACTACCATTCCCAGAGCCATCTCAGAAGAATACCAAGATTGTTGATATCAAAAGCCACTGAGAACTCAAAAAGGATGGATGTACTACCTCCAACTTGCTCCCAACATTCAAAAGTGCAATCAATGCAAAGAGCCATAACCAAGTCAATGGTCAGGTCTGGGTCCTAAGCAGAAATGTAATTTTAGGAAAAATCTCAGATTTGACCCTTCATAGACGTCTTATGGATAAATGCAGTTATCTGAGGTGCATACTTACTATATGTACTGAGAAGTCCTTCATACTGAACAATTAGGCCCACTGTATGAAGTTGCTGGAGGAAGCCTTGATCACATAAACCAGAGTGTAACTTGATGATAAATCCACAGACCAATCCAGCAAGCTAGGTTAATGAAAATAACCACACAAATAAATATATTAATTGCTTCAGTCAAAAGTTATAATAATAATTATTATAATAATAATTATAACTATATAAGTCAAATCAGAACCACTGGCTCAGTAGCTCACTGCCATACAAATTAGTCTTGAAAGAATATGGCAAGAAAGAGGGTAAGTACTTGAATTTTTATTAATCATAAGTTGGTATCTTCCTGATGCTTACATTCAAAATCATGCCCAGAAATCACAAGCTCATGTCTACTCTTAACCATAGAAATTCACTGGGTAACTTTGGGTTAATAATTTTCCACCAGAAGTAGCAGAGGTTTGTTATTTGAGGGAATGTTGATGATGAAGATGGTGGAGAAAAGAGTGCTATGTATGCCAATTGGAACTTTCAGAAAAGGGGCTACAAGTCTAAAAACAAATTTATATCAGATCATATTAATATATCTAATGAGGCTTATAATAGTTACAATCCAGAGCTTCAGAAGGGATATTAGATGCCAAATCTCATTTTAAAAAGTGCATTTTATTTATTTCCTTATAAATATAGTTATTTTTATGCTGCTTTGATTTAATGTGTAACTTTTCGTTCTTCAACTGATAATTGAAAACATGCACTTTTTCCAAATTAAAAAACAAAAGCTATAAAAGACACCCTATAGCAGACATAATTTAGTTTTATGTAAATTATGCATACAGATTGGACCTAGAAAATCAAAGCAATCCTATCAATCAGCCAAGGATCCTATTTCATCATGCTGACAGTAACATGGGCCCATGAATCAAACAAAAAAGGAGCTGTGGCTCTAGTACTTATTTTTCTTTTCCTTCAACTGATACTGGCTGACCTCAAAAACATTTATAATTTAGATGTCTTTAACTATGTTGGCCTTCTGAGATGCCTTGGAAAACTCCTGAGCACTGGGCCAAAGCACTGGATAAATTCTTTCTTTGAACTGAAATATATTTTGGTAGCCTTATTATTCTATATTTAAGTATGTTGTATTGTTATTGGCTGGTCTATTTTCAAGCATAAAATAAAGGAGGGATATAAATCAATCAGACCAATAAGCAAACTTCCAGCAGTTGCTGTTTATAAGTTCAGTGGCCATAATTAAAGTAATATTGGACCTGATTAGTACATATTCTTGCCAAAAATACTACATGGACTTCTCTATCACATCAACAGGAGCTTAGCTTTTGTCTACTCTTTTTGTTTCACTGCTATTCTGTGGTCAAGGACTTCAGATCTTTCAGTATCAATTTATAATACTTTCCATGGAAATTTTTTCTCATTTAAAAATAATACATTATAATACATTATATATAATTAATGAACAAAATAAATAAATAATTGCATTATAATAGTAATCAATCCTCAAAGTAAAGAAAAAGGAAAGTAAACAGGCATATTTTGCACTTCTTTCTTTCTACTAGGCTTACGTGTCTCTCCAGTTGTTGCTGTCTTTAAACTATTATTGGCTAGGAACTAAGCTTCTCTTGCTGTGACAGTAAAAGATAATTCTTTGGGAATGCACAAACAGGTGATTTTTAAACAAAGAACCACTTTTGCGAGATTGGCAGTTTTATAAAATCTGAAGTGTCAGGTTTCAATGATGCTGCTGAAAGCTGATCTCAGCTATTGTGAGATGAGAATAGGCTGAAAAGCTTCATGTTTACATAGCATAAGCACTGCCATTTGGATTTGTGACTATATAGACAAAACAAACTGTTCCTTGCTTAGACAGTGATAGTGGAATACAACTAATTATTATAAAATCATTTTAAATCCTTAATGTTATTTTATGATAATTTTAATATGGACCATTAAATTATAATTGAATATAATTATTGAAGTGACTTACAATTTTTATAATTCCTTCAGGAGGGCTAAGTTGCAGATATTATAGACAAATTATTTCTATACGTGGCTACATTTTCTAGCAGGGTTGAAGTGTTCAATCTTATTGGCACAATAATGTCCTCTGTAGTTTTCTCTAAGTAACTATTTACGTGATTTGTTTGTTCACTATTTATTTATTTGGCTTATAAATCATCATGAAAAAGAAATAAGGGAGCTTCTTGAAGTAAATAAACACTTTCAATATTGCAGAACATAGCCAGAGAAAGCCATAAAAATGTGAGTATTAGATTCAGATGAATTGGCAAAAAAAGAGCATTTTATAATAAATACCAATCTTGTGTCTGAATATCTGAAATATGTGGTACGCTTTCCATATGACTAACACTTTGCCAGTAAAATACTTTTCCAATGAGTATAGCTCATAAGCAGGCACTCAGGGTTATATATATCAATGGACAGTGAACTATCAATGGAGAGCAGAAGGAACATGTCATTGAAAAGACTGAACTTTTTGATGTGTTGTACTACAATTTTCAAATTTTCCAACAAACTTGCTGACTGAAGATAATGAGAGTTGTAATTCAACACAATGATATGAAACCAAGTTGAAGAAGGATGCTCCAGAGTTACGAAGATATTCTTTGTTGTCCTTAAAGTTGGTTCAATGAAAGTTTACATGATTTACATTTATTATTTTTCAATAAAACAAAGGATTATCAAAAGAAAACACCTACTGCTTGACTGAAGACTATATCTCTTCTTAGTGTCAACATTAAACATTGTGGCAAACAACATGCAAGCTCCTGAAGCAGAACAAAAGACATTGATTGCTTTGCCCTTGTCACCACTTCTCCAATACAGTCGTTCAGTGTAACTATTAGAGGATACAGTTGTTCATACCAGTCATCTGTAACAAATAAGGAATAATGACAGTGACCATCAAAGTAGAATTGAAATATATAAGAACATATGTAACTATCATAACTCATTCATGTACATGATTTAAGGTTATGTGCCTGATTATGTATGTAACTTACTAGATAGTCTTCTGCTCTTATTATACCACTAAAGAAACAAGATAAACTGTAGTTTATTATAACCTAAATACATATTCAGAATTTAATTGAGGTCAATGACTTAAATTAACTTCTCTAAGAAAGCAATCTGACACCAAACCCATGGAAAAAAACTCAAAAATTAATTTTATGCCTATTTGGTTGAGAAAAATATTTCCTGTTTGTCAAGTGTAAGTAGCACTAAATATTGGTATTCTTTAGTAATTTCATGTGGATATGCTGTACATGTGGCTATCTGAAACTATTTGCATAATTTGGAAATTTAATACTTCTGATATATTTATTTCAGAAAAAAACATGAACGGAATAGATTTCCTCAATCTGGCAATAGCCTTAGAAATTGTTATAATTTTCATTCCAATATTCATTTAAAAAAAATCACCAAAATTTGCTTTTTGACTATTTTATAAGAATGTGTACTATACTTAATAATATTTTCAGTTTCAAATATATCCCCATTTTTATCCTCAAAAGATGAAGAGGAAATAAAGAATAAAACAGAAAATGGTCATCTTTCTTTCTCAGTCCCTTTACTGGGTTGTAAGCATTGTTATTACAGATACTATATTTAACTTGTCATGGAACACACTGTACCATTTGTGATGGCATTATCTAATGAGTTTAAAACAAGACCATAAAAATGTTCTGTATCTTCCTACTCTATATTGTCAGGTGAACCTCCCCCCACCCAGGTGAAAAGGATTAAAAGATTAATAGAGTTGAAGTAAAATAATTCATTCTCATTAAATATTAAAAGCCACTTTGTTACTCACTAGTGCTCCCTTAGTATTTGAAAAATGCATCAGTTTGAAAGGACTTGCTCTGCCTTAGTGATATCATCACATATCAAATCATATCTACATATCATTTTGTCATGCATTCCATCCTCTCTCTTAACTCCAGTAAATTGCAGTTCACGACTGATCTATTAAGTATTAAGTTCACTTCCATTTATTTTCATGCTTTCATGTTGTAGCCAGATCTGTTTGTCTGTATAGCTCCAAGCTGTCACATCATTTCATGTGATGTCTGCCTATATACAATCTTGTGAGTATTCAAAAAAATGCTAGAATCTAGAAAACATAAATGATACAAAAACAGCCCAACAATTGCAAAAAAAAAAAAAAAAAGCAACAGAAGAGAACTATTACTAACATGATAGAACTAGACAAGTATCTGCGATGGACATGATGGAGATTTGTTAAATATTATCCACTATTATATAGTAAATAGACATGTGACATGCAAAACTTTGAAAAATACTTGAATATTATAAAAGCTCAAGTTCAACAAAAATGTTTTTAATTAAACCGTAACAGTAGATAAAAATAAAAAAGCAATTTAAGAACTGAAACTGAACAGAACTCCAGGACTTAATGGTACCTTTAAAATATACAGTACTTACTTATTTATTAAACTCTAGGTTGCATGATTCCATGATTCTGGGTGGCTTCATATTCACAATAGCTATAAAATTGGCAATAAAACCCAGAGTACCTGGAAGGAGCAGCAACCAAGAATCTTGTCCCACACCAGAGACAAGAACAGACAAAATTCCTATACAATCATATTAACGTAGAAGTGACAGGAAAACCACCAGATATTTAAATATTGAGCTATTTAAATTGATATTTAACTAATTATTGCAATTATACAATAACTGCTATGAACAGAAGATAAGCATGCCTTTTTCTTTTGGACATAAGATATATTCTTGTGACAGCTTCTTAAAATAAAAGCTTGTTTAGTGTCTAAAGATGGATGCTATCCAAAAGTGTAACTATGTATCCATCAACTTCATGTCCCTGACAAAATGTTCCACAAGCATAAATTCTACACATTATAGATTGCTACCTGAAAATAAAAAAAATCCAATCAAAATAATCCATGTTAGATAACAGCAGTTGCCGTTTTCTCAGAGATCGTTATTTCATATCTCATAGGTGACTGCAGGTTACAGCTGAATGGCCATATTTTTATCAATGTAAATATTTGAATTACAATTTCAAAAATTTGACAATTTATTGGAATGTTCCAGCATTACAATGTTGTATTTTCAATATATTTTTACACTTTAAGAGAATATGATGAAAAACATATTCTGAATTTATAATGTAAAACACTTGTGAAAGGCTAAAATCTAAAATGTAAAATATAATTGATGAATTACTTCACAAATTAGAAAACATTACCTTAATTCTTAAGAACAGATGAAAAAACTGCAGTGAAACTACTGCAATGAAACTAGGGAATTGAGAATTCTTTTATGATAGAAATGTAGTTTTTAAAATGTTTACTGGCTGTATAAATTAATAGTAATTTCACTAGCAGTACCCTTTCGACATCTTCACATTTGGTGTGATTTTCTATGGCACCACTTCTGGTGTGGTGTTGGTGCACAATAATGCTAGCCTGTGCACCACTAGACTCACACAAGAACTTTTGAAGCAGTTCCATTGGGATGTTTTTGATTCCCCCCCCCCATAGCCCAGATTTGGTGCTGAGCGATTACTACTAAGGAATTTCAAACCTTGTAAGATGTTATGACAAGTGCCTCAATTTGAATGGTGGTTATGTTGAAAAGTAATGTAATGTTGTAGCTTTCTAAGGTGTATAATAAAAGTTCTGTATCTGCAAGTGCCTGTCACTGATAACCAAATGGAGGTTTATTTCCGAATTGCCCTCATGCTATACTTGTTTCTAACTGTATCCATCAAACCTTTATTAAATCATTATTATGGTCTTTGGACAAGAAAGATATATGGTACTGTATATTTGGTTTTCCTAGGAAGTTAAAACACAGACAAAAACAAGAACCTTGGGGTTATTGTGGTATTTTCACAATGTTAGAAAAATAGAATTGACTGTCAACAAAAAAATTATAGTGGCCTCTTTGCCAAGGCATTATGAATATTTATATTTCAGGAATCCTAGCTGGTTTGAAGTAATAGTTATGAGAGTTATCAATAAATATGCATGATGAACTCTAATTAGAACTACAGAATCATAAAGGAGGATACAGAGGTTCACCTGCTGAGAAATTTGCTGATTTTTCTGGAAGACAAAATTGCTCAGCTTCGTTCCCAGTTGATGCCAGTGTGGTAGAGAGACCTGGGGCAGATCCTGCCCTGTTATCTGGGAATTGTTTGACTCTGTTGCTCCTGAGGAAGTGTACAGGTTCTTAGGGAGTATGCATGCAAGCATCTGTGTTTTAGACCCATGCCCCTCCAGGTTTGTGAAAGCTTCCTGGGAAGTGACATGTGGGTGCTTCCCTGCAGTAGAGAGTAGTGCCCTAGCATTTTAAGGACACTGTTGTCCTCTCTGTTCTTAAGAAGCTGCTGGATTCCACTCTGTCGGATAATTTCCAACTTGTCTAAAATCTTCCCTTTTGGGGGAAGGTTGTTGAGTAGGTGCTCCAGAGGTTTCTGGATGAAACGAATTTTCTAGAACCTTACCAGTCAGTATTCAGGACTGGATATGGAATGGAAATGGCATTGGTCGTGCTTTTTGATGATTTCTGGTGGGAGCAGGAAGTAGTAGTGCATCCATCCTTACTCTACTTGACTTCTTGGTGGTCCAGAAGGATACCCTTATCCATGGTATCCTTCTGGACAGGCTTTGAGAGTTAAGAGTGGGGGGGACTCTGTGCTGTCCTGATTCACTTCCTTCCTCTATGGCCGACTTTAGCTGGTGTTGATAGGAGGTGAGAAATCCAGCCCTTGTCCACTGCTTTGTGGGGGTCTCTCTTGGTACTCTCTCTGCTTCTGTTTAATATCTATATGAAGCTGCTGGGTGAGATCATCCATCAGCATGGATTGATATATCATCAATATGCTGATGATATTCAGCTATCTCAGCCCATCATGAGTTAAGTAATGCTGTGACCTCCTTCTCACTATGCCTGGAGGTTGTTAGGGGCTGGATGGGGAGCAATGGGCTGAAACTAAACCCTGGCAAGACTAAGTGACTCTGATTCTGGAGTTCTTTAGTCCATGGATGATTGCCACTTTGGTTTTGGATGGGGTGGCACTGCCCCAAACAGACTCAATGCCTAATCTGGGGGTCCTCCTGGACTCATGACTCCTATTAGAGGAACAGGTGGCAGTCATGGTCAGGAGGGCCCTTGAGCAACTGCACCTTGTGTTCCAGTTACATCCTTTCCTGGACCAACAATCCCTATTCATGGTCACTCACACTTTAGTCACCTCCTGACTTGACTATTGCAATGCATTCTACATGGGGATGCCCTTGAAAAGCATCTGGAAGCTCCAGTTAGTTCAAAATGGAGCAGCCTGAAAGGTTTTGTGCAGACCTCGGCGTGCACATGTCACTTTTCCTGAGGGAGCTGCATTGGTTGCCAATTTGCTTCTGGGTGCAATTCAAGATGCTGGTTGTCACCTTCAAAGCCTGGCTTGGGACCGGGTTATCTGAGGGACTGTCTCTTGCCAGTCACATCCACCTGACCCACCAGAGCAGGAAGGCAAGGAATGTTGCAAGTTCCATCCCTAAGAAGGTACATATGGCAGGACACAGAAGAAGGGCCTTGTCCATCCTTCTCCTTCCCTTTGGAATATCATCCCTTCAGAAATTAGATTGGCCCCCACTTTGACATTCTTTTGTAAGGCCCTTAAGACTTGAGATTGGCAGCAGGCTTGGAGAACTCTGAGTGGACAGAGCCCATCAAATGGCTCATTTGATTGTGTGCTGTTGCTGGGAGCTGGTAGGTTTATTGTTCTTTATTTTTTATTTTATTTTACTTTCTATACTGTGTTTTTATTGCTTGTAAGCTGCCAATAGTCACTGTGAGCGAGTAGGTTGTCATATACATTTC